TAGGTTTTAATAATTAATTTATTAATTTAATAAATTATAATATAAATTAAACTTTATAATTATAATAAATATATATATCTACCTTTAAAGGGTTAATAACTTTATTTATATTATAACTAAGTAAATCAGCTTATATATAGTATAGAATTTTATCATTTTTTATCGTTTCTCTATAAATATTATAATATTTATAAATATAACTATTTAAGTTATTATTAAAAGTAGTCTATCTAGAATAAAGACCTTTTATAGTTATTATTAGGGAAAGGAGATAAGCTAGAATATAGGAGGTTATATATAAGGAATTAGATATATAGAGGCGGGCTACTAATAAACTAGTAAGGTAGAGGTAGTAATAATTCTATTATTATTAGTAACTATAAGGATTATTTTATAACTAAAGTCTCTTAAGTATATTACCCTTATAGTTATATAGTTGTAGTAAATTTAATGTTTAAGGCTATTTTATTAGTAATATCTAATCTTAATATATAGGATTATAGATCTTATATAAAAAGACTAACTTTTCTATTAGACCTGAAATAGGTCGTCTAGTTCTGACTCTCTAACGGTCGGATCTAAGTAGTGGCTTTTCGGATTTAACAGGTCCTCTATTCTAGACTAAACTAATTATCAAGAACTTAGGCTCTATAGCCTATCTTCCTTATACTTAGCCCAAGGCCGCTAAGGAGCTAAAGTAGACCTATAAGGCTATACTATAATATTAGTATTCTTATAACTAGCTTTCTTCCCTCTCCTTTTTTCTTCTCCTTAAGAGAATTGTTAATAATTATAACGCCTATTTATAGAAGCCTAGGGCTAGTTTATAACACTAATAGTTAATAGGATTGCTATGCCTACTCGTTCTATTACTATATGTGGTATAGGTAGAATTAGCGAATTGATTATTACTTCTATTCTATACTAGGGGAATAAATGCTACTCTATATAAGTATTCCTTACTATATATATATAGTGTTAGTTCTAACGCGTCTGTTACTAGGATCGAGTATAACATTCTCTTGTAAATTTTAAGGATATATTTTTAACCTTATTTATATTTGATTTCTATTGGTTACTTTACAATTAAAAGTCCTTTTACAGGATTTCTTAGTTATTTATAATATTATAACCTATAATATCTCTTTAATACTTTAATTTATAAATACTATAATTATAGACTAAATAAGAAATGATATCATTAATTATTAATTTCCTTGTAAATAGAGGATAAATTTATATTGATAAGCTTCTAGTTATTTCTAACCTCTATAAGGTTGAGGCTAGAGAATTTATTATAGATCTAATACTATTTATCTTCTTCTTCGTCTTCTTCTTCTTCTTACTTTAGTATAGATATAGCTAGGAATAAATCTCTATATATACTCTATATTAGATAATAGAATAAGTCTATTATTTTTCTAGACTTTTCTATATAACTTATATATATAAACTATAACTACCTACTATTTAGTAAATACTTTTTAAAGATAACAGATTAAAAATCTTAAAAGCTTTTTAATACTATATAAGTATAGATCTATTATTTTTTAGAATGAAAACATAATTTTCGCATATATAGTTCGTTTTTCATTTAAGATGAATGTCTTATGAGTAGTAATGCCATGGGTATTATGTCTCCAGTACCTAACCTAGGAAGATAGGTGCGTGGCGTGTGTAAGCGGTTTCTCCGAGACGGCATTTAACTCCTTCACGTGCCGCGCCTCCAGGTGTACCAACCCAATTTGTCGGAGACCAGCCTCCACAGCAACAACTGACCCCCCGTCACAACAGCGGAGCTTCTGCAATCGCGCCACCATTTGAGCCATGGACGATAAAACAAAGGCCTCACATGAGCAAAAATTGAACCAAATCCGCGCCATCCTAAAGAAATGGGAGAGCGACTGGGCAGCCGGCCACGGCGGCTCCAAGCCCAGTCGACAGGATATAAAAGACAATCCAACTATAGGTGCTCGCAGCTGTGGCCGACTGTCCCCCAACCGACTCTGCTCTGACCACATTTATAGCTGCTAAATACACAGAATACAATAAGACACGAGACATTCTCGCGGGAAAAATCTTCGCGCCGCCGTCCAATGAACACGCGCCAAACCTCAAGAAACGGCGCTCCGACCGGCCGCCTACCGAGACGCCGCTCAGGAAGAACAAATATGCCGAAACACCGATGAAGAGGCGCGCGCTTGACGAGGACCAATACCTGAGCACGCCCGCCATCTCGAGAAGGCTCTTCAGCCCGGCGCACGTCACGTCCATCGGGCCCACGCCGCAGCGGGATGGCAAGGTGCTGGGGCTTTTTGACCTCTTGATGGGCAAGGAGCTGGGCACGTCGAGCAAGGACGGTACGAATGACCCACCGCCCCCAACAATCCGAGGACGTCGTCGAATCGCAGATGATGCAACGCCCAGCCGGCGCCGAAGGTCCGAGGACGAGGCGTCCGCGCTGAGCTGCACACCCATGTCGAGTGGCAAACGTCACGAGCTCAGAGCCTTTACCACGCCTTCGCAAGTCCGGGACGCAGGCACTGACGCCGGAGTCAGGACGCCCACAATGGGATCTGTGTCCAAGCTGCAGTTTGACACGCCAGCTTTTCTAAGGAGACATACGCTACTGGCGCCGGACGAGGCGGCTGCATTTGGTACGCCCGCGCCGCTCAAGCTGCCCAGGAAGCTACCCGGCCGCGGCCTGAGTGAGATTGTTGCGAGCCTGCGGAAAGTAGAAGACGATAAACTGGATGACGACGATGACATGGCTGCTCTGCGTGAGGCCGAGGCGGTTGAGAGGGTTTCTGCGCGGTCCGTTACCGCACCGAGAGCGGAGCCCGCAGCTGCCGCTACTACCAAGGAGAGCGACATACTGGCGAGAGAGCGCGAGGCTCAGCACATCCTGCTCGGCGGCTCAAACGACGAGGGCATGTACGACAGCCTCGAGGATGCAGACCACTCGGCCCTACACGGCCAGCCGCAGCTCTTGTACAAGAAAAAGGGACAGAAGCGCACGACGCGACGCGCAAACATGCGTCCCGCCATTACGGACCGGCCGACTGAGCGGCTCGACGACTCGCTGGACGTGGTTGCCGAAACGCAGCTCGATAAGCAGGAGAATATAGATAGCGAATACGAAGACGCGGATAGTACGGAGAGCAAGAAGCAACCCGTCAAGGAAGGCGTAGTCAAAAATTCGGTGTGCAAGGTAAACGAGCCTGCGCACACCAACTTTAGGCGCCTGAAGCTGAGGAACAAAAATATGAAGGGGAAATCGGGGGGCTTCAGTCGAAAATTTGGGCGCCGGTGATAAGAGTTTAATGTACGCGGAGCGACAGATATCATGTTAAACTCAAGCATCAGCATCTACAATCGAAATTATGTATGTATAGCATACCGCGGTGAGTTTGTATTCTACAGAAGGCAAGTGGTATGAAAAAAGCTGATGATGCAGCTTTAGCTTGTGTTACTATCTAACTGAAATCTACAATTATATGCTCAAGTCCAAAGGCGACTCTGCGCATTCTCGACGAAGAATCCTAGGTGACTTCGGGGAGAAGCCTGGCAGAGCTCAATACCTATTGGCGGGCGGAGCCTGGCTGCGTATCGAATGTGGTTTGTGGACAACCAGCAGCCGCATACACCCGGTTCCTTGGCCCGAACATGTATGATTACTGGAGAAACTGGAGCAAAGCCTTACACGAAGCCTCGAAAAAGCTCTCTAAATGAAACATTGGCAGGGATTGGTGCAGCACGCGGCGGGGTGTGCGAGCTTCGACCTGTTGCTGCCTGTTACCTCGAATAGTGTTCTCCACGCGCTGATATATGTATCACTCCGAACCGACACGGGAAACACCAACGTGTGCCGCTCGCCGATGATGCACGACGAGCAACAGACATTGGATTCTTACTACAGTGAGCTCCATCAACATGAGTACTCTATCAGTATACAATTCTCTATATTTTTGCGGGTTTCTTCTGTGGCCACAAAGGCATATCAAGATTAACTTGGGGATACATCTATCTCTTCACACCTATACTTAGATCGGTCTTTAGCCTGTCATTGCTCGCATTCCTTCGGCATCGCACTTGTCGAGCGGTGACTTTTCAATCACACCTACAAGCGGCAACAGTTCGTCAGTCACAATAACGCAAATCGTCGAGCTCTGAGAAGTATTAATAGACCTTTCTACCTTTCTACCGCATAGTACAGGGGTAGCCAAGTTCGATCCAGTTCACCAGATAAAGCTTGGAGACATGTCTCTGGCGCTGACAATCAGCGAAAAGCTTAACAGTGCCTGGAACAAACATGGATCTCCCTCTGGCGCAGAGCTATTTGAGGCTCTCTGCGCAAGGTATTCTCAGTAACACTACAACGAGGCCATTCACACATCTTCGACCCGGCCACTGCGGAGTTTCCCTCCCGCGACTTCGCGCACGAAGCTTTTGGCGCCCACAAAGGAAGCCAGAACCTCACCATCCGCCCTGATGATATGTGGCTTAGCATCCCCGCGAGGCGAGGCACTTACCTTAATATGCACACCGAAAATCGCGCGCGCCCATTTATATGCCACGCGCGCGCAGGGCAGTTCGCCGTGTCTGCTCAGGGCGCCTTACCAGAGCGCCTTGGCGAGCCCGGCTGGCAGAGGCGGAGCTCGAAAACATGGCGCGGCTCCTAGGCCCAGTGCTGAAATACATGGTGCGGATCTTTGCGCACGGCGTTTGACATTGGCTCGTCTTAGGGTCGGGTCGTGCAAGGGGACGGCGAGGGCTCGGCCCGGCCGTGCATCTCGGGCTTGACCACAGCGTTTCTCAGCAAAAGGGCCGACGGCTAGGTCCAGGAGTCTTCAGAAAGCAAAACCTGCGGTCTCGGGGGCCAGTAACTTACCCGAACATGCCGACTTTGAGCATCCCCTTTGGATTGGCGGTCGTACCCGCCCGCGGTGATGATCTATCTGTTGAAGTCAGGCAAGGTGTGATGGAGTGGGCATGAATGAGCCCCGAGAAACGGTACCTCAAGCACACCTTATTTGGGTATATAATGAGGTACCTTTGCCGTGGGGCCATTTTCCTATTAGTTTTCAGTCATCTAAATCAACTTGCCATTCTTTGCACATTCCGGTTGCCCTATATACTGCGCACGTGAGCTTTGCACTCATAATTAATAAGCTCAACAAGCCATACATCGTCAACGTCGTGTTACTATCTCAGAGTGCGAGTGGGTCGAGTGCAGCTGGTGGCAGGCCTGGCGGGTGTTCACGAACAGGCCGTGTCCGAATCAGGAAAACTTTGCAGACTTTGTCAGGCTGGATCGCATACAAAAACCGAAAGCATAAGTACTATTCGCCGTGCACTCAGAGTAACGTTCCCCATTCGACAAGGGCTTTATATATAATGAGACGCATGATCCTTTCCATGAAAAAAATCAGCTCGACTTGACGTTATTGCGTTTGTTTGTTTGTTTATCTAACGCCTGTGGATAACTTGAATGGCAACCGTTGGGTGCTAGTGCCAATGTCTATGGTCTGACAGCGCAGCTATTCAAGAGGCAACTTCGCTATTAGTATTGGCTGATGCTAATACAATATTTCTTCCAGACTCTGCAGGGCTTAACAACGACTTATGGTCCGTGTGGTAGAACAAATAAGATGAGTTTTGATCTGGAGGTGACGGGAATTCATTGGCTTGCTTGGTGTAAGTCGATTGTGCTCGCGGCGCTGAGGCGCGCCAGTCAGATGTAGACCGCAGCGAGTGTCACATATGCCGAGCCACCATGAGAGAGTGGCATATAGTCCTAGATGATGTGGAATAAAACAAAGTCCTTTTTACACGTCACAGCGAGTTTCCGACGCGGGGCTTGTGGTTGTTGAGGTTGGCGAGGCAGCGGGGGAATAATGCTGACACGCATTCAACAGAAGATGGTGAACTGCATCAAATCAATACACCGTTCTTATTTTCTACAGGTTCTTACTCATTTGATTAATGGGCCTTTTATCTAATTCCATATGAAAGCGCGTAGGAAGGCCGGCAGACGTGCAAACGCGACGGCTGGCCCGCGTTTGACCTTGACCTTGCCACACACAGGGCTTCTCTTCCTAAACACTGCGAACTCTGCTGCTTCCAGGAACACCGACATTATCTTCTGCTCGCATCGCTGATTATTTTACTGCTTAATGAGGCCATGAAGCTCACTGCGGATCTTGACCTGGATCTTGACCTGAATCTTGACCTGGATCTTGACCTGGATCTTGATGCTATTAGCTCCGAACAGCACGATACACGAATTCTCGCCACCACATGTCTTCCTGGAGTACTTTCTGGCATCGATTACGATGGATCGTATAGCTCTCATGGGTCGAAGGATGATGACCTCGAAGAAGACGGCCCTACAGGTTCATATCCAATCTCGGTACACATCCCTGAATGTATGCTCATCAGCCCACGATCCTGCTATACGCCATTCGACCCGCCGTGTCCGGTCGCGTCGGAGCGTGATGCTTTAAGAATTCTACTACCACAACGATACGCCAAGAATGGTTTTCTCGAGCTGAAGCTTGACGATTTTGCCGTCTACTGCGATACCAAGTTCAGACCCGAGGAAATGCGCTCACTCAGTCAGCTTGGCACCGAGCCTCACTCCACACCCTTGTTCTTCGACGGGATGCTCTCGCATGGAACGCAGAGCCTCTACGTGCGTCGAGTTCGTATACACGCACTACCTATTGGAAACTATGGCCAAGAGTCACGACATCAGACGAGAGACAACATATGGATCCAATCCGAGGAAAATGCCACGAGCGATGTATTCTATAAGTTGGGATCACCAGCACCAGAATACAAGAGATTTTTTGAGCTCTTTGTGTGGGTTGCTGATCTAGCGAAGTATTTTGTCGACTTTCTGACTGTCATGCGTGCCATAGAGCGGCCCGTGACAATTCATCACTTCCGACGAGACTTTGCGGCCTGGCTTCTTGCTCTTTATGCAAAGTCTGACAAAATTGAGGCGGTCAAAACGTGGATGTGTAAACACCCTCGTCAAGACTATCGATCCGCCGTCAATGCAAATGTTGATTTTTTGCACAAGGAATCTGTTGGTGTACTAGGCGAGCGAAGAGCCTACTTTCACGATTTGTGGAACGAGGTGTTTTTCTTTCAAACGTACACTCCCTACATCGCACATAACGAAGACAAATGTACCATTGTTACCAAATACATTTACGACTGCTTTCACCACTTACCATTTGGTAAAAGACTCAAGGTTGTTGATCTCAGTGCTCACACAAAGCGACTCCGATTGGAAGTAATCGCGCAACGACCGATGCTACCTATAAATGGCACTCAAGTTACGCCGGCTGGCCACGGCAAGATCGGCCCTGGGGACACCATATCTACCGCACGCGACACTGTCGATTCTGGCACTGACTGGGAAAAGGAAGAGGCCAAGGGCGATGAGTACAGCGATCTATGGTTTGCCCTTGTTCAAAGCGTGTCCGTTAACAGCGATGGGGTTCGAGTATTCGAGGTCATTTGGTACTATCGACCCGTCGATACGCTATGCGGCCTCATGCAGTATCCTTGGTCTGATGAGTTATTCCTGTCCGACCACTGTTCGTGTGAGGAAGGCACCAAGATCCGAGAAGATGAAGTGCGCAGCGTTCATGAGGTCGACTTTGGCGGTACGCCAGAAACCACAAAAGAATTCTTCTGCCGACAATCGTACTTATCAGACGATAAGATCTGGGTTACGCTAACGCAATCGCATTTGACGTGTCGTCATAACAATGATGCACCTATACCTGACAGTGCAGAAGAATACTGTCTTGGAGACACGGTGCTTGTAAAATCGGGTAGAAATTCGAATGTTTGCCATCCCTGCGAGATCATCGAGACTAAGCAGGAAAATGGAAGACTACGCTTCGTCTTTCGGAAATTACCTATACGCCACGCAGTTGATTTGACCGCAAGAAACGCGCCGCCGAATGAGGTCGTGTACACAGACGAAATTGTCAAATCTGGTCCATCAAGTATCGTTAGCCGATGTCATGTTCGCTGGTTTCCCCAGACTAGGCCAGTACCGACTCCATATGACCGTGACGGCGTCGGAGCATTCTTCTTCTTGACTCATCAGAAGAAGTGGACAGGCAATGGCTACATCACATCTCCTTTGGAAGAAGCCCCGCCATCCTTAAACCAGGGCCACGATCCACAGCAGGACTCGAAACCAAAGCTTCGCGGTCTTGATCTATTCTGCGGAGGAGGCAACTTTGGTCGGGGTCTCGAGGAAGGCGGCTCAGTGACGATGAAGTGGGCGAACGATGTGAACTCGAAAGCGTTACATACATACATGGCTAATACAGAACCGGGGCAGATATATCCATTCCTAGGTTCTATTGACGACTTCCAGCGGCTTGCGTTTCAAGGTAGATTTGCAGACAACATCCCGCAAGTTGGAGAGGTGGACTTCATCTCAGGCGGCAGCCCGTGCCCTGGATTCTCGCAGTTGACCAACGACAAGGAGACGGACGCACAGAGAAAGAATCAATCTTTAGTAGCAGCGTTTGCATCCTGTGTCGACTTGTACAGGCCCAAGTACGGGATACTAGAGAATGTCGCCGGCATCATCCAGAAGCACCAAAATAGAGGCCATGACGTTTTCAGCCAGCTCATGTGTGCATTGGTAGGCATGGGTTATCAGGCTCGGCTTGTCTTGTTGGATGCCCTTTCTTGCGGCTCTGCTCAGGTCCGCTCCCGCGTCTTTATCATCTTTGCCGCGCCTGGATGGACTCTGCCCGAGGCGCCCATTCAGACGCACTCACATCAGCCCAATGTCAAGAATTTTAAGCTTGGCAGGCTACCGACCGGTGAGCCCATGGCGAGAAGAGAGGTGGCGAGCTGTACGCCATTTTCATATAAGAGTGCGTCACAGGCGGCTGCCGGGCTGCCGAGCTTATACGATGCCACTCCGGATATCTGCATCGCATTCCCGGATCACCGAGTTGTTTCGCACACAAATACAAATACCATGAGAAATAGAATTCGGCTGATTCCGAAGGCTCCCTATGGTATGAATTTTTCACAAGCCTGGTATGGGCGTTTAGGCACTAGACCCCGCGTCGCTGGACGGGGCGTTTTGACCAGGTCGGAGCGCAACATGTTTTCACTCCGAGGTGAGGCAACGATGTCGACCTCGATCCAGTCCAGGGCCTACGGAAGACAGCCGCCAAACCAGCCAATGGCCACGATTGTGACAAGAGCCAGTCCCAGGGATGCCAAGCAGGGCCGGACGATCCACTGGAGCGAGGACCGGTGCCTGAGCGTCATGGAAGCGAAGCGCGGGCAGGGCTTCCTAGACGAGGAGCTACTATTGGGGTCCGCCGACGTGCAGTACAGGATCATCGGCAACAGCGTGGCGAGAGAAGTATCACTGGCGTTGGGCGTTGTTTTCGCAGAAGCGGTGATGCGCAGCTACGGCCAGGGTGTCGAGGACCTCGCCGTAGACAGCGAGGACGAGGTGACGATAAAGACAGAGATGAGCGTGCCGACGACACCGGGAGCGACGAGGCAGCAAGGAGAAAACAACGGCAGGAATAAGCGACGACGGGTGGGATAAGAGAGGAAATCGAGGGCGATGCTGGGCACGTGGGGCCGTAGCGAGGCAAGGCGTGGACAGAAATGGCGAACGTTCTGCCCACACTGCATTGCAGCCGAAAAAAGACTCTCTTTTATAATGTCCAGCGATTTGCTAGATGTTCAAGGTGAAGAGTTGTGAGTATCGGCACCACATGGGATTGGTGGGTTTGTTGGTTTGTTGGGTGGTTTTAGGCAGCGACCGGCGTGTGAAAAAACCCGGGGTGTATCTGCAAAAGTGTGTGTTATTTTAGCCATTGCAAAGGGTGCTCTCGGAATGACTAGGACCGCAAGACCGGTATGCCGTGTGGTGGGTTGATTGCCCGGTTGTTGGCACACGGGCATTGCATGGTCATGGGAAACAAAAAGCCCACTAGGCAGCCGCGGCGAGCGAGCGATTTAGTGGTGGATTTCGAATGACCGGGATCAAGCGTTCCAGAAGCACACGGGGATGAGGGAGGGGGCAAAGAGGGCTAGCTTGAAGCAGCAGGAACCTGGAAGGATGGGAGTGAGGCAGTTGAACATGTGAAAGAATGATCCGTAGAGGGCATGAAGAGGCGTCTGCTTGGCGTCTAACGATCTGCAAGGCGGTTCAGCTTTTTGATTTTTGTTTCTTTGAGCTGGCGTAGGTCAGGCTTGGCGTAATGCCGGCTGTGATGATCGTTAACCTTTCCTTGAAGTATACACTGAAAGCGGAAAATGTATATTATATGTGACTGTGGGTGGCACTGGGTGGGTATAAATAGTTGATACCTACCTTCGGCGACTTGGGTAATGTGTACGAGTATAGAGTTGGAGAATGCTTGGTAATAGATTAGATTCTATTTGATGGGTGAAAAACCGGGCCCCCCCCTTTATTGCGGTATTAATGTATTTGCCAGTTACATAACTAGTGGTGTGTTGTAGTTAATCAGGGGACTGAATGGATTATTAGTAGTTTTACGGATGGTGGAAAATAGGCAAAGGTAAACTGTTTTTTCTTTGTGAGAAGTACCTCGGGCCCACTGAGTCGCCCTGCAGACTGCACACTGTATCGGCTTTCGGCGTGTCACGTCGTCTTGTCCATTTGTTTGCGTTGACGGTTTTTCCATTTGTCTTTCAATGTGATCGAGACCTTTCCTCATTCTGTTCTTCTCCTTCCATATCGCGACACCATCACATCCCACCTGCATCCGTCTCCGTCTTCTTTTTTCTTTTCTTCTTCCAACAATCTTTACGGTACAGCCTATGCTGCATCCCTGTCTCACAAAACAACGACGACCCTGGATCATCACAAGCCGCTGTCCAAGCTTCGATCGCGTCAGACGACATCACATTTTTAACCACCTGCCACTGTCGTGGTCCGTGTCATCATCTGACACCTCATTACGGATACATTTTCTTGTCTTTGTTTTTTTCTTTCTTTTTTTTTTCCTCCCCCCTCTTCTCGTTATCCTTGTTGGCTCGGAACCGGCTCCCAACCCTTGCCCGCCAATCAGCCATTCGTTTCTAGGGCGCGGCCTGTCTCCGACCTGCCCTGGCCTGTCCTGTCTCCGGGCATGTTTTGGGTGCCGCTGCCCATGTAACCAATCCGTACATACTTGGTACCGGTAGTGGTATTATCAGCTCCAACAAGCTGACCCTGTCCTGTTTCGCATTTCCCCGGCCTGTCTGCATGACAGAGCTCAGCTGCGACGCCAACGGAAGAACAGGACATTGCTAATCATTGTCAAGCAGCGGGGAACACGGAAACGAGGCTATTCCTTCCTCCTCTACGGGTAGTCCTACCCTTGCAGTCCTGCTTTATTATATCCGACTCGGACATCTCTTGTCCTTGCGACAATATTCTTCAACCCTCGTGCCCCTTTGCCTTGACTTGCGCCGCCTGCCTCGCACAGGTCACTACTAATAATTATCGCCACTGCTACATATGACCAATTACCATCGACATTCCTATTCTTTCTTGGTTGTCGCGTGCACGCTTCGGCCAACCAGTTCGCTCTACGAGTAGACTCTGGTTCTTGTTGCACCCACGCTTCTCTATTCTGCTGCTTACTGCTTACCAACGTCATCATCTGCGCTGCCGTGCAACTCACCAACGCAGCCTTGTTCCGCCCGAACTCACTTACCTTTTGGAGGCGCTTGTCCGCCGCATTCACGCGCCCACATTCAGACATGACCTATAATAATATTGTAAGTTGGCTTGCCACGATGATTTCTTTCTTTCTTTCTCTGCGCCCACACCCAACCAAACCCACCAGCCCCCCCGTCACCATTGCTGCACCTTTCCGCGCGAAAAAACACGCTGTGCCCAGCTGCACAATGTTCGATGCGCCAATGACCACCCACGTAGCGCTCTCAGCCACAACCTCACGCACCATGGCTGCAGCTAGCTGGTCTCGGAGCCGATTCTTCCTGTTTGCCTTTTTGTTACCCAGTATGCCCTTGTTGCAGCCCGCCTTGCATCCAAAACCCGGTTCGGCTGCCTTTTTATGTGCCCACATCCCTTATTATCTCGCACCAAGTTCCGTTGGCTCCAAATCATATTGTTTGGGTTTCCGTCACTGCTTAGACACCCTTCACACCCTCTTCTAGTTCCTTTGCCCACTACGGATACTCGATACATAACTGGTATTGTTTTCTTTGCTGGCCCGTCTTACACCACACACCGCTTTCTCGTTCAACGTCTTGGTTGATCCGCCTTCCTCTGATCCTGGCGCCCAACATACATTCCTTTTTTATTCCATCTCGCCTGCCTGACTCGGGCCTTCTGCCGCACACCCCTTTGTCCTAAGTCGGAGCCCCATTCGTCAACGCAGTGGCCAGCGCTCATCGCGTCTGCCTATTCCGCCTCCGTGTAATCCGGGGCTTCATATATTACCTGGCCTGGCTGCTCCGTTCATCAGTGCATCACTGCTTGCTCCAGGTCTCTCACTCTTTGTTACTCATGGCTACCATGTTTAAACGCACATCATCCACCACCTTATTCAGATTCACCTCTCTCTATTGCCAGCACTTTTGCTCTGTCGGCTAATGTCCAATATTCAGCTTTGCCTCGCTCACTACTGTGACCACCATGGTCCGACTCCGCTCATGGTCACGGAAGGGCTCCAAACAGCATGCAGCACCTGCTTTGAAGAGCCTGTAAAGAGCAACGGTCCCCCGCGCTCTACCCCCTCAGGCAACTTACAAGATGCAAAAGGCCCTCGCAGCGGTTCGCTGGCCGCCTCCGAACACGGGGGAAAGTCTCGTCGCTCCGCCATGCGCTCGCCTCCCGCCAGCTCGCCAACTTGCAGCCCGGTCCTGAAAACATCCCCGGAGAGCCCTCGCTCAGTATATCAGAACCCGGGCCGCGAATCCAACTTTAGGCGCACTTATGACGAGACCGTGACCAAGAAGCAAGGGCCCTGCGACAACTGCGCCATGACACTACCTCGCCGCCAAAATTCCCCAAAAACTCCCAACGATAACACACCAACGCTGCGAACGCGAGCACCTGCCGAGCGAGTCTATGGTTCGCCGGCTCGCGATGCATCTCCCCGTTCCCAGTGCTCTAGCGATACTGATGGCGACCGGGATCTGCCGCGACGCCCTCGTGCCCGTACCTCTGCGCAGCCCGGCAGCTCTCGCACCACCTCGTGCTCGAGCACCTCGACAACTTCGGACCGAGCCTCGTCTCATGTGCACTACATTGACTACACATCAACCCATGAACCCGTCCTCGGCCACTCATTTTCCCTGATTCGCGCATCCTGCCTAAGGGCGCTCTCTTTTGAGACTCTTCCTCGCCCGCCCGCCACCTCGCCTATTTCCTTACCACAGCCCAACAGCGCCCCGGCCTTTGTCACAACCCAAAGTGCGGGCTCTGCTGCCACTGGCGGGCCCATCTTCTTTGGGGACGCTGTCGCTGGCTATACTACTGCCTATATTTTTCGCATTCCGGACCTGCATGCTCGCGGGCACAAACGTGTCTACGCATTCTTGGCGCTCAGCACACACAAGGAGCGACTAGCCATGAAGACGTACACAGTCGTCTCCAACGCTTTTCGAGATCTGGCTGGGTGGGTCCAGCAGCTGGTCGAGGCTGAAGCCGAGCGTGTCGCCGACCCCTTGACTACTGGCGGCGCCAACGGCAACCTGGGTACGGCAGATGAGTCCCCGGCACCGCCTAACCAGTCTGCTTTCGGCTCTCCTGTGACCGTTGATCACAGTACGAGTAGTTTTCTCAGTGGCGGCAGCGGCCTCACCCGGCGAATGGGGGCCAGCGGTAGCGCCTCGTCGCTCAAGGCACGCGGCCTGGCCGAGCTGGCTGGCCAGCCCGACATTTTTATTGAGCTGCATAAGCGTTTTGTCCAGCTCTTGTTTGAAATTGGCGTGGCGCTCAACTCTTGATTCCCACCTTGGTCTGCCCTCTTGTTTCTCTCAGCATGGCAAAGGCGCATTTTGTCATTCTCTTGCCTGGCAGTCTGGGACTGCAATTACCTAATCACCAGAGTACACTCACGGGGAGCATGCGCTGCCCTTGTATGTTGCTTGGATGCCGGGTTTTGTTTTAAACGTTATAACCTCTTGCCATGACGGCCATGTTGGATGGACTTGGGTCTAGAATATTGCCATGATGTGGAGGTTTGTCTTTTTACGTGATGATAGGAATAGCACAAGCTATGGATATAATGCACTGAATTACTTTTCCGCAGGCCCTTCGATCCTTGAATCGCTTGGCGGCTTCATTCGAGTACATTTTAGCAATACAACAAAAGTACGCGTACAGGTTTCGTATATTCTCGACAATCAGGTTTCATTGATGTAACTCGTGTACTGTGGAGGGCTTCCTGTACTTTGCCGGTATATAATGGTTAGTCCTTGGTAAGATGAGTATGTACCTGTCAAACATTTATACAGACGATTGCCGAATATTCTGGAAAGTTACGCCCCGCAAGCCTTTCGAGCGGCCAAACGAGTAATGTACTGGTCTTGTTCCCAACTCTAGACAGAATGATAATATCCATGTTGTTCACTCTCATTATCGCGAGCACAACAAAGGGGAGAAAGGGGGGGGCGGTATTTTCAAGTAGCGAGAAGAGGCACTGAACACGGACAAAGTTCCTGTGTTCGAAATTGCCTGTTTGGGAAAGTCCCCGCATGGGGGGGGGGCGTTGTCATCTTGGTCGCCTCCGACTTACCCGAGAGGGCAAGTACAAAGACGTGCAAATGTTTCTCTTGACAAGGAGTACTTGTATACTTTTGTCAACTTGTTTTCCTGTACACACACACATTCACTCTCTCTCTCTC